GCACTGTACTAATAAAACTGAACCAAACCCTAATAAAACGAACCATATCACTTCCAAACCCTGAATCTGTGATGCCTGAGTCGTCATACCTTTGGCTAGACTTGGGCAAATACAATTAAAGTAATTTTAATTTAATAGGAGTTATTCATTATCATTATTTATTAATCATCCTTTTTTCCGTTGAAAGCTAGCAAACGCTGCTTTAGTTGCCTTAAGTTCAACTTAAACACAAAAAAGCACAAAAAAAGTTGTCATTACAATAGCCATATACAAATTTGCATTTTCTCCGATTTGAGGCTAAGCCTGTATTCCCAGAAGGCTCAAACTCTAGGTCTTGTGGGAATAAAAAATGTCAACATTTTTTCGTACTTTCTTTTGTTCTCTATGCAAGTGAGTCTGTTGTCTACTAGTGGTCGTTCGCATTGAACGGTAAAAGGCTTATTGGGCTTCAAGAGTTATTCAGTCGATTTAAAGTATATGTTTTCGTATGCTTTATTTCTTGATATCACTTTTTTTACCAGTTTACCAATAAGGTTTTTACATTCTGTTTACTCTCTTATTTACTTGTCTTGTTATTTCTTAGGTATATCAGATTTAAAGTTATTAATATTTATCAATCCTTTTTTTTATTCTTGTACCCCATTAGGGATCCATTTTGGCAGCAAATAAGGGTATGTCAGATGACCTTCATCAAGCCTTTTCTTGTTTCGCTTCTCAAGCTTCTTTTGAATGTTATCGTCAAGATTTTGCTTATGRGTAGCAACTATCGCTCTCGCCGTCGGATCTTGCAACTTGTCAGCGTAATCGAAGATTCGATCATAGCGGAGAGTCCCAATTTTGAAGRAAAATGACAGTTGAAGCTGTTGAAGATAATACATATATAGTGAWGTTCACTTTGATTGCTTTCTTGGTTGTCAGTGGTTTGATTACTGTATTATGTATTTGTTGTTTTGTGGTTRGGTTGGTTGATTGSATGGATTAGCGTTGGTTGATCACCATTCACGACTTTCAAAAATGGAGCGATATGTCACAGTCGCCGGTCAGGGCACTGGGGGCGAAKCGCTAAAACATGATCTCATACCCTGTAAACTTCGATGGTATCTTTCAAGAGTATTTTTCTAGTTGTAAATAACATACCAATACATCTTTCAAATTTTTTGACACTGCATTCATGCGATTTTCGTAGCGATTTTTAGATGTAAGGCCTGTGAGGTGTCGTGCTCATAATTCGTCACTATTCCCCCGATGATATTATTGGTCGACTATCCCCATTTTTGAAAGTCGTGCACTACGTGGAAAGAAATTAAGGTACCATGATGACGAGGCCTAAATCATAATAGAAAACCTCCAGGAGACATATCTCAACTTAAAGCGTTGTCGTAATATAATAACTAAGAACTTTGACAACCCACCGTTTATATCTGTTCGGCCTAAGATGAATTTGAGGYGGGCAGAGTTTGTCAATCAGCTAGTCAATATCTTTTTTCTTTCATTCAATTAGATTAATTCAATAAAAGTTTTTATGGAGCTTATCACATGCAAAATGGAGTGGACCTTTAACCTATTAAAATATTGCTGCAATTGTTGCGCTTTAGTTTACTGTATTTCAGACTGTTATACTCATAAGATGGCATATTCATATAGGTAATAAGATGGTTTCGAGTTCAATTTGGAACTAGCACGAGTTTATTTTTCAAAGAGGCCATAATTGCGTGAGGCCGTAGTGAGAAAGCTTTTGTTAGTTCTTTTAAGCAGTTGTTGATAGTTTTTGAGTACTTTTTTGTCTGTTATTGGCATTGGATTCTTGAGAAAAGTTTTCAAACAAAGCTTGATTCTTATTGGCTGAAAACATTTTTTTGTTTCTTAGCCAATCAAAAGCGCAGATTTGATTGTAATTGCACTGCAAAAATGTAATTGCACTGAATTAAGAATTAATTGAGATGTTATCAGACAATCAGAATTGATTAATTTAGTCATGTATATTATTATTCACATAACATTACAGTATTCTATTATATAAATGTTTGCAAGGACTATAAGTTACTCGAATTAACTAGAGTAACTTATAGTCCTTTCCACACAACTTGTATTATGTATATCACTGAATAGTCTACGTAGAGTTCAACGATATCAATTTCTTCTTCCAGGCCATTGGTACTCATTGGTGGGCCATTGGTATTATTATATGAGACATCCGCCATATTTATATTTTTATCAGTACCATGATGCTCTTCGCCAATACAAGCATGAATCATTAGTGGATGGGACTGTAGGCAGAAGGCTTCTTTACTAGTGGTTTTATACTTGTGAATGAATTTATGAATGAATCCATTTACAGTCGATCTTTATAAAAAGAACCTCTTTTTTAACGGTCAACTTCTATTAAGTGGTCACTCTTGTCAAGTCGATTCTGAAATTTACATCTGCTATAAAACTTGACCTTGATCATCTGGTATTTACCCAAGGTCACCACTTAAYAGAGGTTCGACAGTATCATTATAGTTCATACCGATGCTGTTTTCCTATTGTTGAGTCTTGATCCGTTAAAGACATCAGCAGGAACACCATAAACATCGTATAGCTTGGTCGAAACGTTGGGAACGTATGTTGCGTAGTCTGCTACTGGATACCCAACAGATGAATGCTGGGCCGAGCCTATCCAAATCATTCGGGTAATAGTTTCGATCAGTTGATTTTTAGTTCTTATGCGGGAAGGAAAGCCACGGATCTTGCAAAAAATACAAATGCATGAAAGAGTAAATGAGAAATAAGAAAAAAAGGATGAAATGTAAATTCGAGAATAAAAGAGCATAATATTATGGCCCATGGCGTAGAATGCCTGGAAATATTGGCCGACGCCGCCTAATTTACATTCGGCGATGATCACTCAAGCGCGCGGCAAATTTGAAAACATTGAGATTCTTAACAAAGAATCGGGCGATTCTGAGTCAACCTCGCTGATAAAAAGTTCGTTTTCGGCCACTTGTACTTTAAAAACATACGCCTTGCAACTGGAAATAAGATGTTCTTACATTAAATTAAACTTTTTCATTTAAGATGAAGGAATTTAAACTGCGCAAATAGTATCCTTTTTGGGCTGAAAAATAGGGTTTTTGGGGCAATTTTTGTGGGAAGGCCATTTTAAAGTCAATTTTTTTACATATATTTTTGTGAAAAGTTTACGCTTTTCCACCTGGATATTGAAATTTATCAAGTGTATTCACTCACCAGGCTAAGATAACCTTCATCCGACCCCAATGAATAGTATCCATTTTGGTTTTTAGTTTTTAATGRGAATTTGTCTAATTAGCATGCAATATAGTAAGTTAAGCTCCTCCCCTTCTGTCATTAATGTACAACATAGCCAGCACGCGAGATTTGAATTTATGGTTTATGGTCAAACACGAACTACAGCTCGAACTATTTAAGACAAACACGAAAGCGATTTTTTAATATCATTCAAACACGAACTACAACTCGAATTGTTTATGTCAAACACGAAAGCGTTCTTTTATAACTTTCAGTCAAACACGAACTACAGCTCGAATTGTTGAAGTCAAACACGCGACGAAAGCGATTTGTTAATATCATTCAAACACGAACTACAATTCGAATTGTTTATGTCAAACACGATTTCCAAGTTTCTTTTATAACTTCAGTCAAACACGAACTACAGCTCGAACTGTTTATGTCAAAAACGAGTTCCATGGCCATTATGCATTTGATTTGCGCACTACCTTGATTTTTATAATAATTAAAAAAAAAAAAATCTTATGCAAATGATATTGTCGTTTAAACAAAGTTCATGTTACTGATTTGTAAAGACTCACCCTTCCGTCACCATCCGCTGAGATCTCATACGCAAACTTTTGAACTTCTTCATCTCTTTTAACATCTGCATTTGCCTTATAAAATCTATTAATAAATACGAAGGAAAAAGTGTATTANCCAGCACGCGAGATTTGAATTTATGGTTTATGGTCAAACACGAACTACAGCTCGAACTATTTAAGACAAACACGAAAGCGATTTTTTAATATCATTCAAACACGAACTACAACTCGAATTGTTTATGTCAAACACGAAAGCGTTCTTTTATAACTTTCAGTCAAACACGAACTACAGCTCGAATTGTTGAAGTCAAACACGCGACGAAAGCGATTTGTTAATATCATTCAAACACGAACTACAATTCGAATTGTTTATGTCAAACACGATTTCCAAGTTTCTTTTATAACTTCAGTCAAACACGAACTACAGCTCGAACTGTTTATGTCAAAAACGAGTTCCATGGCCATTATGCATTTGATTTGCGCACTACCTTGATTTTTATAATAATTAAAAAAAAAAAAATCTTATGCAAATGATATTGTCGTTTAAACAAAGTTCATGTTACTGATTTGTAAAGACTCACCCTTCCGTCACCATCCGCTGAGATCTCATACGCAAACTTTTGAACTTCTTCATCTCTTTTAACATCTGCATTTGCCTTATAAAATCTATTAATAAATACGAAGGAAAAAGTGTATTARCATTTATTAAAGTTATTAATAATTCATAAGATAAACACAATAGRAAATTGTTGCCATGACTGCATCATTATATGAGCAAGAGATTTGTCCTGAWTTGCATGCGACTTTAACTTCATAAGCAAAATGAAATATTCGCATCCGACCATTATGGGCTTTAAAACTGCTCGCAAGCAGCTCGCAGATTAAAAAAGGTCTCCTGATCATATTTTTTTAAATATTTCTTAACGTTACCTCTGACTTCTTTTACTTACTTATTTTATTACTGAAGTCGATACTTGGGATTCATCGAMCTTCATCAATGTATCGACCGAAACGTAAAATCGTAAATAACTAAGAAGTCAAGGGCAGCTAATATCTAATGATGAATCCTAACAAAAATATATCATTTTCACCATTTCACTTTAACGACATGCATTTTACTTTGCCAAGCTAGTATTGACTTTATATTAATGAAGCCAATACTAAAAAAAAACGTTAAAAAAAAAACGTTTAAAAGCGTTTGAAGTGAGTGATATTCACTTGCTGGTGAATCTAAGGGCTTACGGAATGAGCAATATTTCTCGTGTTAAAAAAAATGAGGCAAATTAAAAAAGTTAATTACTACTCCCCTCTCAAACGAAATAAATTAYGCTCTACTATACTCCATTAAATAAGTATGCTTACGAATCCACAAATTCCTTCAACATGGCTTTGATTGCAGAGTAAATGACAGCAGAGTCATCTCTATAAGGGTAGTATGGTAGATTTTCTTTGTCATCAAGACCTCKTCTCTATAATACAGATGAATGAGTTATTTTTTGCTTGAAAGCAACTGCACTTAATAAATAAACACCATTCAGAAATGAAACAAGTATTTAAAATTTTGAGTTTTTTTTTTCGGAGAGATCAACTGCCCTATGACATAATATCGTCACAGTATGTTTACATTGTGGATAGATGCTCAGAAAAGACTCGACCTATTAGCATTCTTTCCGAAAGTATTACTTCAGTTTATCGAGTTTTGATGTATATAATTTATAAAGGATTGCTCATCTACCTTTTATTTGATATTCACTCACTCTGACCCCATCTGGCGACCATAATAATAGCGTTAAAACAACAGAATGTTTTCGTGTGACGTAATTATGCGATAGGGCGCCATTTAAAGCAAACGTTATCACTGGAATCGCATCGACATAGTCTTGAATCATCTTGAATGATATAGACGTAATGTTTAAAGTCCGACAATGAGGACTGGACGGGGTTTCAAGTCCGCGCAATTA